CAGGATCAGAGCTGCTTTCTTTTCTTATAAGTCAGTCTCTCAAGCCTTTAAATGTCTGAATTACTTTTGTGAGACACCATCAAATGTTTCACTGTAATCAAGACATTACAAGAATGGCCTTCCTTTCATCCACAATTTATGGATAGCTTGATCAAAAAAGCATGTATTTATCTGACAGGTTTTTTTTTTAAAACCCAAGCAGTTTATTCTACCTAGTTCCCTTACAGAGTTCCCTCCAAATATTTGTTCCATTATTAAAGATTGTTGCACAACGCTTGTTTGATAAAATATACTATATGTGGTAACTCACTGTAGTTTTCTATCTTTTTATAATAAGAATGGTCTACACAGCTTATCAAATGGAAATTTGTTTAGAGCAGTTCTAATAACATTTGGTGCATGCACGCAAAGTACTATGATTTCATTCTTATTCACTTCAAATGGATTAGAAAATATCATCCAAATTGGGTACTGTGCCAAGATTGCCATTACCTTTTCCCCTGAAATTTGATTAAGGACCTTAACAGGCATTCAGTAATTAAGTGAAGTGCTTTGGAAATTTATACGCTGTCCACAATTTGTCATGTTCTGAGAAAAACTGAAGACAAGTTTGATGAAAAATAAAACACTTGAGAAATATTTGGGACTACTAGCTGATTCTAGCTATGGTTTCATTTTTAATAGGATATCTTAGATTTGTAAAATTAATATTGTTCAATTGATTTTTTCAATTTTAGAACTTTAGGTTAATGAATAATTGACTTTATTAATGTAGCAATTAATTTAATTCTGTATCCCTTTACAATGCCCATTTTGCTTCATTTTCAGCATGGAGCAGGTTATTTTTTGTATAGTCCATTAGTGGGTATACTGTTCTGTATTTAGTTATTAGTTTTTTAATGCAGCTGAATTTGCTGAAAAAATGGTATAAAGAGGATGGGAATACTGAACAGATTCTGAATGAGTAAATTTCCCTGTGACATAGCAGCAGAAAGTAATGTCGGCTTTTATTCTGGTAATCTTCAATACATGAATGGCATAATGACACTTACATTTGTTTTTAGCTCTGCTATACGGTAACACAGAAAAGGTTGGTCTGTTACTGCTGAGGTAACTGTTATGCACTGTGGCCAGTCATGTAGCATTAATAACAATTTTTTCCTGCAAATCTCTTGTCCTTCTCTATTCTCCAACTTCCTTTGGAAGCCGAGTTTATTCAAGGTGGCATTATAGACTCACTTTAATTGTAAATAATAGAACTAGATCGGTATCATTATGGCTTTTTGGGGTGAATCTACATCTTCTGTCTGGAAAAAAAAATATCCTCTCAAAACCACAAAACTAAATGCAGCAGACTCTAGTAGTATTAGAGGGTGTCAGATTTTAATAAGGCAGTTATTACTGGTAACTCAAATAATTAAGGCTATTAAAATTTGCACTCTGTAGCCCTGACCCTGCAAACACATGCATGCGAATAGCTTTACTTTTGTGAACAGTGCCATTGAAATTAATGGGAGTAAGGTCATGTGAGTAAGGTTATGCAAGTGGATATGTATTTGCAGGATCGGGGCCCAGGATGATCCTATCATGCTGTAAGTGCACATTTCCTTTCTATTTTCATATTCATACTTTACTGTAGTTTAAAATAATTCTTTAGTTACAAATTAAACATGGTATTTCTACCACATGCCATCTCCAGCAGTCCTCCACTGATAGGCTGTGCCTTCCTCCTGATGGAGACTGTTGGCAGTTATCTTATTGACAGTGCACCAAGGTAATAAGCCACACCAATTCTGCTTAGGTGTCAGATGCCCTGCCACTGACAGAAGGACAAGCATGGTGGTTCCAGCTGCCTGATCTTTGTTTTTCATGCTTTTTAGTTTTCATTGTCTTTTAGAGGAGTAAGAAACAGTTTGTTCCTTTATTTAATTTACTCTTTAAAGTTCATTTTCTTCTATCTCACTATCCATCCTTACTACCATACTGATCTCCTATTAAAACAACTATAAACCCTTTTATTCACTTTAAGTTGCTTACAATTATTTTACAATCTATAGAACTGACTGAAATTCTCAAAATTTTGATGTTTTTTTACTTCCCCAAATTTTTTTTCTTTAAAATGTTTGTGAAAATTTTCCCATTTTTGACAAGGTCCAGTTATTAATTTAATAGATTATTTTTTGTTTGTAATAATAAACTGTTTTCTGTGACTCAGAAGTAAAGTTGTTACAACAGATTTGAACTCATGTTCTCCTACCCTGCTCTGCATAACATCTTGTTCAGAATTTGTTCAGTCCAAGTTCAAGAGGGGCCTTCACTGCCACCAAGTGAAGTCAGATATGCTGTCACCATGGATTTCTATGCAGCACATTCAGGAACAGCTGTATGAGCATCATAGAGTAACAGAACACTTTGAAATTGCTCCAGCTAGACCTTAAAGGAAACCAGCAATAGCTACTGATACGGAGTCTTTAATACTAATTTACTGACATTTGAAAATGCCACATAGATGGTAGGCTGGTGATAGTGACTGATAAGTGATGCTACTCATACGTCTGTTGGAAAAATAAAAATTCTCTCTGGTCTATGAATATGAGCAGGCAGACGATGAAGTGGTGCTACCACTGGTAGGTAGCATGCACTGGATGTTTGTGATATGGTGAGCTGTCACTGGGGAGTAAGGAAAGGGTCTTGGGGAATAATGAGTCAGTTCTTAATAACAAGTTAGTCTTCTTTGAACCATTTGTACAGTGTTAGAGTTCTGCAGCAGATGCTGTGAGGGGAGGATAGATCAGAGGCTTCCTTTCCTCCAGTATTCTTAAGCAAAGTAAGCAGTTATGGGATAAAAGGGATTGGTGACTGCTTAAAAGATAGAAAACAAATGGTAGGAATAAATGGTCAGTTTTCAGAATGGAGAGAGGTATATAGTGGTGTCCCCCAAAGGTCTGTACTGGGTCTGGTCCTATTTAACATATTCATAAATGATCTGGAAAAAGGGGTAAACAGTGAGGTGACAAAATTTACAGATGATACAAAACTACTCAAGATAGTTAAGTCCAAGGCAGACTGCAAAGAGCTGCAGAAGGATCTCTCAAAACTGGGTGACCAGGCAACAAAATGGCAGATGAAATTCAGTGTTGATAAATGCAAAGTAATGCACATTGGCAAACATAATCCCAACTATACATATAAAATGATGGGGTCTAAATTAGCTGTTACCACTCAAGAAAGAGATCTTGGAGTCATTGTGGATAGTTCTCTGAAAACATCCACTCAATTTGCAGCAGCAGTCAGTAAAGTGAACAGAATCTTGGGAATCATTAAGCAAGGGATAGATAATAAGACATAAAATATAATATTGCCTCTGTATAAATCCGTGGTATGCCCACATCTTGAATACTGCGTGCAGATGTGGTCGCCCCATCTCAAAAAAGATATATTGGAATTGGAAAAGGTTCAGAAAAGGGCAACAAAGATGACTAGGGGTATGGAACGGCTTCCATATGAGGAGAGATTAATAAGACTGGGACTTTTCAGCTTGCAAAAGAGACGACTAAGAGGGAATATGATTGAGGTCTAAAAAATCATGACTGATGTGGAGAAAGTAAATAAGGAAGTATTATTTACTCCTTCTCATAACACAAGAACCAAGGGTCACCAAATGAAATTAATAGGTAGCAGGTTTAAAACAAACAAAAGGAAGTCTTTTTTCATACAACGCACAGTCAACCTGTGGAACTCCTTGCCAGAGGATGTTGTGAATGCTAAGACTATAACAGGGTTCAAAAAAGAATGAGATAAATTCATGGAGGATAGGTCCATTAGTGGCTATTAGCCAAGATGGGCAGAGATGGTGTTCCTAGCCTCTGTTTGCCAGAAGCTGGGAATGGGAAAGAGGGGATGGATCACTTGATGATTACCTGTTCTGTTCATTTCCTCTGGGGCACCTGGCATTGGCCACTATCAGAAGATAGGATACTGGGCTTGATGGACCTTTGGTCTGACCCAGTATGGCTGTTCTTATGTACTGAAGGAGTGGGGTTATCCAGTTTTAGGACAGGGGAGGAAAAGGATAATATGGAAGGTCTGTGAACAAGATCTGAGCATACTGTGTACCATATGGAATACCAGCCTCTGTCCTTTGACAGAATACATGCTGCATTTTTATGTTCTACAGACTCTTCCTATGCAATATTAATTATTAAGCGGTTGGCTCTGGGTCTGTTGGTCTTTCTCTCTCACATTGCATTTTATTTTTATGTTGATGAACAATATTTGCATTCAGTTGCTTCTTTATACACCAAATCATTTTCATATAGGTGGGTGGAAATTATGCAGAGAAGCAGTTGAGGATAGTTTGTTGTATATATAAAAATTGGTTAGTTCCAGTCATCACCCTGTTCACTTTGCCTGTATGGTATATCTTTCCCCCACTCTGAGTTTTTTTAGTTTCTTTTTATATTGTAGCCTTTCGGGGCAGTGACAATGTCTTTCTGTATGTCTGCACTGTGCTTAGCATATTTGGGGTGCTCCTCTAATATAATTAACTTCCATAACCATATGCTAATACACAAGCATGCAGTGCATGAGAATCAAAAACTGTATAAATGCAAAATGTCTCAAAATCATTTTTAAAATCTGAACAGTTATCAAGTCTCTCTCAGGGAAGATTTTGATGAAGGCCAATTTCAGATCCAAGTTTTTCTAGTAACTTTGCAGTAAAACACACTGCAGAAGTTCTGATGCCCAGTCTATACTCAGATGCACATCATTCAGTGACCCATTATGCTGCAGCGTGCCAAGAAAAAACATGTTCATAATGTCTTTAAAAAGAAGAGCATTAGTGCACCTTTACCCTTCATTTTCTTCCAGCCCTTTCTTGTCTCATGTCCTTAAGTCTAAAAAACCCTTCATAAATCAAAGGACTTTTCAGTTATATTTAAAGTATATGTTATAGAAGCTTTTAAACAATTAACAGTTTTGTTTGTTTGTACTCTCAGGGCATTCTACCTGGACAAGTCGAACCTCCCTCCAAATTCAACATCTAAAGCTGCTTATATAGATAAGGTAAACAATAATATTAAGTGTTTAATTAAACTCTGTATGTTACACATTATCCTAATCCCTTTCTTTTGGCTTGAGTTGACTTATTTTGAGGTATTGTTTCAGGGCTCTGTTATGGCTTTTACCCCAGCTCTGCATTACGGATGGTCTGACATAGCAGTGCCCTTGTAGGAGGCATTGTGCTTCAGGAAATGCAGTACATGCTCATGTGTGAAGCCGACCTGTTTCCTCTGACTTTAGCAGAGAGTAAAGGGGCAGAGCCATGGCCTGGTCTCCTCCTTATCCCTTTGGGTACTGTCAGGGGTGTTTGCAGGCAATAGTCCCTGTGCCCAGGAGAATGAAGTTGGTGCACTGTCCCATAAAGAACAGTCCCTCCAGTATTTTCCTCACAAGGTTGCCCTTAGAACTTTCCCACGATGGCTCCCCTAAAATGGATTCCTCTTTCCATTTTAAGGGGGGAAAAATCCTCCTTTTATGCCTAAAGCACTACCTAGCATGATATCCAGCTTTTGATCTGACATCCACTTTACAGCCTACAGTTTTATATTTCATAAAGCCTTGTCTCAACTAGAAACTAGTACCAGTTGAAACGAGTGCAAGCTAAACTGATATAACTAAATATTAAACCATGTTAAGTGAGTCTATGTAAGCAGTTTGCATTGGTTTAGCTACATTTATTTTTAAATCACTTCAGTTAAACCAGTGCACTTTTCAAATATAGGTAAATATAAGTATAAGTAAGGCTACCATTTCCCTGGTGAATTAAAATTGCCATTAGGGAGTGCTTTTCTAGATTTTAAAACATTTCTTCTTTGGTTAGCAAGTTTCTCTCTATGGGAATCCCTAGGTATCTCATGGGCAGAGAGAATCAGGGCTTTGTATGACAAGAACTGCAATGTGACTTGAGCCTCATTTCACTTTTTTACCAAACACTGTGGGAGAGACGCAGCCTTTTGTTACCAGATCATGAAGACAGTCTTTCCTATCTTTGTGTGTATGTGTATGTGTACGTGTATGTATAAATTCAATATTATGCTGTTAAACTCTTTCTCTATGTATGTATCATTTCAATTTGGATACCGTTAGGGGTTGGCAACCTGTGGCTCCAGAGCTACATGCGGCTCTTTGGCTGTCCCCTTGCAGGCAGCCTTTTTTTGAGAACCCCCTCCTGCACCCAAACTCCCTCCCAGACCCCGCACCCTCTCCTGCATCCCAATCCCCTGCCCCAGCCCGGAGTGCCCTCCTGTTTATATTCAAATTCAAATGGCAGAAGTCTCATTAAAAGTATTGGTGAGTAGTAATAACTTTATTATGTTCAATTATTATTAGCTGATAAATTTTAACTCTACAAGTAGCTTTGTGTGTGATGTGACTCTCAAATTATTTTGGTCAAAGACCAAAACAAAAAAATGTCTCTTCTTCTTTGAAAGGTTGCCGACCCCTGTACTTTCTTTTCAGTTTTGTTGCAAAGTTAATTATTATTGTTTGTGGTTTCTTCACTCCTATTTTACTGCTTACTATTCTTTCAGTATGCAGTGTTTCTGTAGCTCTGTTAGTCCCAGGATATTAGAGAGACCAGGTACGTGAGGTAATATCTTTTATCGGATCATATTCTGTTGGTGAAAGAGAAAAGCTTTTGAGCTTACAGAACTGAGGAACAGCTCTGTGTAAACTCGAAAGCTTGTTTCTCTCACCAACAGAAGTTGGTCCAATAAAAGATATTACCTTACCCACCTAGTCGCTCTAATATTCTTTCAGTAGTTAGTCAGGATTAGTGAATGGCCATTTGCATAAACATAGGACAGTTTTGTCTTACCTGTATGCTGATCTTCTCTTAGTGGTCGTGCATCAGTCCCAGCACTACTCCCTTTTGTGTCTATCTTTGCATTTGTCTTTCACTGCATTATTCCTTCTTTGGAAATACTCCTGGAATAAGGTGGCCTGCCCATGTGTAGTCAGGTGGAGAGGGCTAACACAGTAGAGATGTGCCCCGGGGATTATACATTCAATGAAAATACCCATATAGCGATTTAAAAAAAAAAGTCTTAAATATTGTCATACATTGTGTGCTTTGTGCGTACCCTTTCAACTGTGTGCTTTGAAAGCAGCTGGACTCAGGGTTTGGCCCACAGTGCTCGTGTGTTCTAGTCTGGAGTCATTAAACTCAGAAACAATTTAGTTGTCACTCTCCCAGAAGAGAACTTCACATGCATCTTGATGGCAAATGTCTAAATCTCTCTGTTCTCCTTTGCTTGCAGCTGATGCGGCCCCTCAATTCTTTGGATGAACTTTACCGACTGGTAGTGTCTTTTATCCGATCCAAGCGCACAGCAGCCTGTGCTTACACTGCTTGCAGTGCCTCTGGAGTTGGATTGCTGTCAGTTTCTTCAGAACTCTGTAGCAGACTTGGAGCTTGCCACATCATAATGTGCAATAGTGGAGTTCATCGGTATGGCAATTTATCCACCTATCTTTGCTTTAGTCAGTCATTGCAATCCAGTTTGGAGAATAATTTTATTCCATGTTTTTCTGAGTGTAGTAGTTTCTATCTAATGGACTCTTAAAAGATTAGTCATCGTGAGAATCTGGAAGATAAAAGTAGTTGCAGTGATTGACAAAATGAGCAATATAATTTTTGCTTGTATAGTTGCAATAGATTATTCGTCGTACAAATTAGTACAAGGCAGAAATATTAAAATTTCTAAAGCATGACAAGGAAGGTTTCCTATTTGCATAATACATTGTGTATTTTATACTGAACTCCAGTATAGGCAAGACATTTTAACATCTAGTGTTTGTTTTATACACTGGAGGGAATCTTAGTAGCAATAGATCTCAAAAACCAAAACTGTGTATGCACTACTGCAGGTCTGATCCAGAATAACCAGAAGCACTATATCCTGGGGTAATACTTGGCATGACCAATTTGATTACAGAAAATGAACTCAGACACTTGACATTTTGAATTTTCAATTGATTTGCTATATACTGCACTGTACTAAACTCTGAGCGACCTTAACATACGTCTAAATAACCAATTTTATAAAGGTCACCAGGATGGTAGTGAAATTCATCCAAGAAAACAGTACGTGTAAGTACCAGTGGGGTAGGATTAGAACTTTGTGTGAATTACAGCAAACATGAAAGAATAACAGTTGAGGAAAATAATCTTTAGGTAAGTATTCTGTAATGGTTCTTTATACAACCCAGAAGCTGATGCTAACATGATCCTTTTTTGTATCCATCAGGATACAATCTATAGATTCCAGTTATCAGTTTAAAAATGGTGTGTTCATTCTCATGATTCACTGTTTCAAACTCCTTATACAATTAATTTCTGATCCTTCGAAAATTTTCATTTGAGCAGCATCAATTACAAGTTTGTTGGGTTATAACAAAAATAACTTTCTTCTTATAATTTTAAGTATTGTCCATCTTTCTAAAAAGAACTTTGGAAAAACAGTATAGTGCCAGTCCAATGCAGAATATCAGGCATGACAAACTGGAAAAGGTCAGCAAGGTATCAGAGAAACAATCAATAAGTGCATGTTATGAAACAGATTTGCCATCTTTATCAACTAAGATCTGATGGCGCATTTGTATGACACTGCGTTATTGGCAGACTAGTGTACGTAGCATGAAGTATATTGTCCTCTGTTTTAGAGAGACAAGGTGAGTGAGGTAATATCTTTTATTGGACCAACTTCTGTTGGTGAAAGAGACAAGCTTTCAAGCCACACAGAGGTCTTCTTCAGGTCCTTCTGCAGGTCTACCTCATCCATTTGTCTCTATAGTACTCTGTTTTAGGCAGTTATATGAGATAATGATATTTTTTAATACCATCCCCTGTACCAGAGCAGGATGGTTGTGTTTATCCTTCCTTTAGCATATGGGAACACTATATAAGCTGGATCAGCATGACATTTTCAGAAGGCCATAAAGCCTTTATGCTTTACTCTATCTATTTATCCAGATTTAACATTTTTACAGGTAAGACATTTTTGATGACTTAGAGAATCCCGTTTTCCAAGTTATAACTCCAGCTAAATCTCCTACTCAACCAATGGAAATATGGGCAGCATTTCTTTCCTTCTTTTCCCTCCACTGCTCCGATGAGGAGCAGCATCTTCTGTCTCCCATGTGCCTTTTCCCTTGATTTTTCCTTTAAAATGTTACTGTGAAAGAGACTGTCATCTGCATAGTGAACAGGGATTTAAACAGTTCAGCCTTGCCCAGAACATATTATATAAGAACAGTGGTACTTAAAAATGGATCGACCCCAAGAATTGAAAGGTCATGAATTATTCAGGCTGGCCTATTGACAGGAATATTAGATACCTGTCTCCCCGAGAATTATGCGTTTGTGTGCATATGCTTTATCTATAGCCAAACATCCAAAGATTATCATAGATGGAAGAAAGAGAGGGTTCTATTTGGGCATAATTGTCTTTCTGGTGCTTATTAGAGATGGGCATAGTACCATGAATATTTATTTGAATGGTTAATTAATTCACTTTAACTGGGTTTGTGAGTTTCCGGAGAATATTCTACACAGAGAAAGTGTTTACTAGCAGAAATATTTGAAAAATGGTGAATTTTAAGTCGCTATTGTAGCATACTCACAGAAAATGAAATTTGAATTCGCAAAAGTGAATATTTTGTCAAAAATCTGTTTGTTGTGGTAGGTTTTTTTGAGTTACACTCAACTGGAGGACAGAAACATACCATGTGAACCACATGTCCTATCAAAGCATCCTGAATATCAAATATGGAGAATGAACAGCTAGTGCACAACTTACAGATCATGAACTATTCAGAATTATTGGGAATATAACTTTAAATAATGGGGATGTATTTGATAAAATCATAAGCTTGACATCCTTGAACAGAAAGACAATTCTTTCAATAAATTATACACTGTGAATTATTCACTCAGCAGCAGTGCCCATTCATATGCATAAATTATAAAATGTCTCATGAAGTATAGGGGCCTAAACAAAAGATTAGGAATCAGACACACTGATTTTTATAGACTATTTTAGGAGAAGTGAGGTAGAGTTAAATGGATCACATAGAGGATTACATCGGGATGTCAAAAGATTTATCAGGGCAAGCTATCTTTGTAAAGTAAAGGGCTAGAACACTTAACCATAAAAACATGAATGTAGCTCTACAGTCCCTGAATGCAGCGCCATTTGAGCCTTTGCAAAAGACTTCATTATTTTACTTATCTACTGACACTGCCTTTCTGGCAGCCATGTGTTCAGAGGGAAGATAAAGAAGAAATCCTTGCATTATCAATTAGAGATCTTTTACTATAGGTCCACAAAGACAAAGTAGTAAACTACAACAGATTTTATACCCCAGGTTTTGGGGTGGTTCTTTTGGCCCAAATCTTTAAAGGTTAAGAAAAAACACTGCATTTATTGGATTAGAAGGCAATTTTGAGCAATTATTTAGAGAGGAGTTAAAGTTAGAAATTGTAGTGCTGTTGGGACAGCAGCAAGGAGTGGGATGGCATCCTCTAAAGTCTATGTTATATGTGACAAGGTGTGTCATGAGTATGTTTGTCCTTAGGGTTCTGTGTTGGGGGATGGGAGCTAAGAAATTTCAGCTCAAATCTTACTTTGTCTCTCTAGCCTACTCATGGTGTATTCTGTGCTTTCACGCCCCGGTGCTGATTACAAGCATTCCAACTTCCCAAGCTTTCCCCGTGCCCACAGGGTCTGCTCTCTGGCCTGCTGAAATTGCACCTCACCCTCACTCATGACTAGGCAGAGAGCCTCCTGCTTACCAGGTAGAGAACTGCCTTTGCACAGCCTTATCTACCCACTGCCATGGTTATTGGCACTGACTTTACTCCTGGAATTCCTGCCACCAGCCCCTTTCATACATGCTGCTTGGTGCCAGGCAAGGATGGGAATGGGATCAGGGGATGATGATCCAGAGCAGAAAGACAAGCTTCTGAAGGAGATAGAGGAGGACAAGCTTCTGAAGGGGCTAGAGGATGGGGCTAGGTCCACCGAGCAGAGTTGATCTAACTCTTCCCTGAAATCCTTCAGGACTAGATTTGCTGTAATAGTTAAGCAGGCATAAAAAGTAGTAATAAGTGTTTTGCCCCTGTTCTGGTAGAATGAGATTTAATCTTAGCAAGCAATTGTAGAGGAGACCTCTATTTCTAAACCTGATAGTTTAGACACATGGCATTCTGAATTCTCATTTCTAATAAAATATTATATGTTAGCCCTGTGGGTAGGCTACCCTTTGAGAGAAACCTTCTTCAATGGATCAGTCCTCTTACCAGGGTAAAGATGAACAATATGACAGTAACAGACTCTAGTTCATGTTTCCACATGTCTGCATTAAATATATAAACCCCAGATTTTGGCCCCTGGAACTTATTTTCACCTGGTTTCCAAAGTAAGGTCCTTAATGGAGCCTGACCTGAGTCTCAGACTAGGAGTGTGTATCAGAGTTCAGGATGCTGTACTGATCACTCCTTTTTTTTCTACTCTTGGGGAATGGGAACTGAGCAAACCATTATTCCCATCTCCGCCAGAATTTAGTGTCTCAGGCTATATTTCCTAGAAAGTTAAATCTGGATCTTCCCACATTTCTCTAGTTAAACTTTGTTGACTGACTACTAGATTAGAGCATACGTTCTTAACATGGAGGTCCTGAACTGATGTCAGAGGGGTGGTGACCACACTGCCCTTTCCTTCCGACTCAGTGGAAGATGGGAGTGAGTGTTAGCCAGATCCCGCCTAGATGGGAGGAAAGTTCTGTGTCAGGGTATCAGTATGGAAAAAGGCATCCCATTATGGAAGAGTTTGAAAACCACTGGACTACAGACTTTGCCTGAACTGTCACTATCACTTGTAACCCCCTCAGTCTCAGCAATGTTTTGGTTTCTGATTTCTCTCTGATCCAACTTAAATTGCTTTTTACGTTGTACGAGGCTAAAACAGCTTGAAAGAGCTCACATTTTCATTCCCATATCCAAGATAATATTGGGGATTTTGAATTTCTGGTGATTACTTTGCTTTGATTTTTATGTTTGCCAATTGACATTAGAGCTAGAAATACTGTATCTATTCCAGACAGAAGTCTTTTTCAAGTATATTTCAATCAGCTGAACAAGAACCAGAGAATAATAAGTACCTTTAACCTTCACTGTCCTTTGTGGTATACGTCTGTTACAACCTCCCCATAAATTATCATAAAATGAATCTGTTGTGCAGATTCAACATCAGGAATTACAATTAATGTGATTCTAAGGAATCAGATTTTTATGTTTTATTTTGCCTTTTTTCATCATAACTAGTTATGGTCTATTCAATTTTACTTCATTTAGTTAAGACGTTGCAATTCTACCTGCCAATTACTAGCCTCCAGTAAATGATACGAGGGTTTCTTTGCCTATATTCATTTTATTTGAAGTTGTAATCA